TCAGAGCGTGGTTGGTTAGAGCGAGGAGCGAAGTGACCTTAACACCAAGGTCGAGGGTTTGGATCCCATGCCGGCCAGCCACCAAATACATAGTCACATAAGTAAATAGTAAAACAACTTAAAAGATGTCATAACTAATGGGTGGACCCAATTATATTCCAATTCAAACAAGCTGTTAAAAAATGGTGCCAATGATGATGCCATGAGACGTGTGGACAGCCTGGATATTTGATGACATCAGGGGATCACTGTTTAGGGTTTGTAAGGGGTGATGACGGTGTGATGCGTTTGTGCCTTGCTTTGTTTTCTAGTATTTCTTGTCGCCTAGAGATACACTCTGACACAGTCACAGTGAGGTGACACATGAAGGGGTTTCCATGTCACATGGGGTGGGGGACAGACAGGGTTGGGGCCAGGGTTGGAGCGAGATGGCCCGAGAGAGTGGCCGCTCCTGTGCACTGAGCTCTTCCCTGTGAGCTCGTGAGTGTTCACAATTTTCCACGGTGGAAAGCTGCAACCTCCTGGCCTTCCCGTGGCCTGCACACTGTGGCCCTGTCTGGGCACTGCTGGTCTTCATCCCCTCCCTTCACGGCTCCAGCAACACCAGCCCGCTGTCCTGGCCATGCCCAGCTCCACTTCTGAGGCCTTGAACTGGATCCTTGGGTTATTTTTCTGTCGCTTCAGAAACAAATGACCACAGACCTCTGTGGCTTAGAGCAACGCACATTTATCCTTTTACAGCTGTGGAGGTCAGAGTCTGGGGTCCAGGTGCAGGCAGGGCTGGTTCCTCCTGCAGGTCCAGGGGGGACATGTTTCCTGCCTCTTCCGGCTCCTAGAGGCGCCTGTCACTGGGCTCGTCCACTGTCAAAGCCAGCAGCATGCGTCCTGTGTCTCTCCTGCCTCCACTTCCACCCTCCTGTCTTCTCTTTGACTTTGACCCTCCCACCTCCATCTTACGAGGACGCCAGGATCACATGGGGCCACCTGGATTATCCAGGATGATCCCCATCTCAGGGCCCTTAGCTTCATCCCACCTGCAGAGCCCCTTCTTCTGCATCAGGTAACACACTCACAGGTCCTGAGATGAGGACGGGGGTGTCTTTGGGGCCATCTTTCAGCCCAGCACACTCCTGCTCCTCCCTTGACTTGCTGGTTCCCCAGACAGCTCCAGCTCACCCTTCACTTACCTTCAGCCTCTGCCCTAAGCCCTCCCCATCTGAGGGGCCTGGCCAGCCACTGTGCTGATGACATGCCCCCATCCCTCTCCTACATCTCTCTTCGTGGCCTCATCGCCAGCACCTCGTTCACACTTCACGTTTGTCCCCTCTTTGTGGTCTTCCCTCACTGAGATGTATGCTCCATGGTGCAGGTGCACTTGGACATGGAAGAACTCAGTTAGATCGGCACCTGGTGCGTCACAGGCACTCCATCAAAAGTGTCGCCTGAGTGAGTTAACGAATGCCAGCTGGCCCTCACCTCCTAGAACGTCACCAGCTCATCTGTGCAAGCAGAGGTCTCCGTGGGCGCATCCCTGCTCTCAGTGGCCAGGCAGTGCCTGGCTCCCGGCCAGCCAAGTGGCCTCCCCTATGGCCCGAGCCACATGCAGGCCACTAGAGTAGCTGGGTGGCCATCACACCTGCTAGGGAACACCAGCAGGGGGACGGGAGAGGAGGAGACAAGGGGGGCTTTCTCTCCTGTAGGCCTGAGGTGGGCTCAGAGCNCTCTGTGAGTCTGGTCTGGACCCCACGGCCTCCTTTCCTGCCAGCCCCTGCCTGTGGTTGGTGCCAGTTGTGCCCGTGCCTCGGTGGCAGCCTGTGTGCCTGCTGGTCCTGCCTGGGAGGCCTCTCATCTGCCCAGCAAATGTACCTGCTCTCCAGGCCCCTATCCTGACCCCTGTCCCACCACCTGCTCCCAGGGACACCGTCTGCACTGCTGTGTCTTCCTGCTTCCTGCCTAGCTCCATTTTCAAATCCAGAATCCCTCCCACTTTCTTAACAGCATTCAATCTAGAACAAAACCCCACTTCTTTAGAACCTCCCCAACCTCCCAGTCAAAAGCACATGTTATTAGTTTCTTTCTAGCACCCCGTGCTGAGATGCCCCACGGTTCCCACGGTATGGATTCTCTCTTGCTGCCTCAACGGGAAAACCCGCCTTGTTCACCTACAGGTATGTTCCTGCAGCCTCCAGCTGGAGGACGTGCTCAGAACAGACGGGCATGCACCTCAGTTACCGTCACTGCAACCACCTAGCTTGGCTGTCAAGAACACTGTGAATTTGGAAGGAAGACAAATGCAACCACCAGAGCTGTCATTGGGCCCCAGTCCCTGGCATCATCAGATGTGAACCTCAGTGTCACAGAAGAAGCGTTGCCAACAGAGCAGCCACCTGCCACAGAGCCCGGCAGCAGCAACCGTGGCTGGCTTGCTGCCTGTTGGGGGAAGAAAGTTTTAAAGGAAGCCAGTCATGTGCTCCCATGAGTCTATGGCTGCTCTCACACTGCAACAGCACCACGGAAGAGTTGAGACGGAAGCCACGTGGCCCACAAAGCAAAAATTATGCACTACCTGGCCCTTTTCAGAAGAAGTCTGTCGCTTCAGAAACAAATGACCACAGACCTCTGTGGCTTAGAGCAACGCACATTTATCCTTTTACAGCTGTGGAGGTCAGAGTCTGGGGTCCAGGTGCAGGCAGGGCTGGTTCCTCCTGCAGGTCCAGGGGGGACATGTTTCCTGCCTCTTCCGGCTCCTAGAGGCGCCTGTCACTGGGCTCGTCCACTGTCAAAGCCAGCAGCATGCGTCCTGTGTCTCTCCTGCCTCCACTTCCACCCTCCTGTCTTCTCTTTGACTTTGACCCTCCCACCTCCATCTTACGAGGACGCCAGGATCACATGGGGCCACCTGGATTATCCAGGATGATCCCCATCTCAGGGCCCTTAGCTTCATCCCACCTGCAGAGCCCCTTCTTCTGCATCAGGTAACACACTCACAGGTCCTGAGATGAGGACGGGGGTGTCTTTGGGGCCATCTTTCAGCCCAGCACACTCCTGCTCCTCCCTTGACTTGCTGGTTCCCCAGACAGCTCCAGCTCACCCTTCACTTACCTTCAGCCTCTGCCCTAAGCCCTCCCCATCTGAGGGGCCTGGCCAGCCACTGTGCTGATGACATGCCCCCATCCCTCTCCTACATCTCTCTTCGTGGCCTCATCGCCAGCACCTCGTTCACACTTCACGTTTGTCCCCTCTTTGTGGTCTTCCCTCACTGAGATGTATGCTCCATGGTGCAGGTGCACTTGGACATGGAAGAACTCAGTTAGATCGGCACCTGGTGCGTCACAGGCACTCCATCAAAAGTGTCGCCTGAGTGAGTTAACGAATGCCAGCTGGCCCTCACCTCCTAGAACGTCACCAGCTCATCTGTGCAAGCAGAGGTCTCCGTGGGCGCATCCCTGCTCTCAGTGGCCAGGCAGTGCCTGGCTCCCGGCCAGCCAAGTGGCCTCCCCTATGGCCCGAGCCACATGCAGGCCACTAGAGTAGCTGGGTGGCCATCACACCTGCTAGGGAACACCAGCAGGGGGACGGGAGAGGAGGAGACAAGGGGGGCTTTCTCTCCTGTAGGCCTGAGGTGGGCTCAGAGCAGCAGGATGAACCAGACTCTCTGGTCAGCACACAATGTGCTCCAGACCACCTGTCTGTAAGCAGCCCCGCCCAAAAGCCCACGCCCCCTCCGCGTCCTGCTTTGGTTCTTGGAGCCTCTTACAGTAAAACTTCCACAAAGGATGACCTCCGTTCTTCTCTCCATCTCCTCTCCTCCAGCTGTCTCCTTAATCCACGCCAAATACACTTCCTCCTCTACCGCTCTCCCAGGAAGCCTCCACAGACCCAGAGCCCCACTGGTCACGTCCTGCACTCCTGTCGCCTGTGCTTGTCCCTGCACAGCTCCTGTGCAGCTTACACTCGGCCCTACTGAGCCCGCTTCTCCCTCGATCTGCACGCAGCCCTTCCTGCTGCTTTCCCGCCTCTCCTCCATCCTGGCCTCCAACGACTCCTCTGCCCCAGGCCCGGGGCCCCCTCCCTCCCTCTACCACACCTGCAGTTTAAATGCCACCCCGGGGTTTTCACACGAATCCCAGCCCCCGCCTCCGAGCTCCAGCAGCCAATGCCCAACTCCATCAACATCCTGCATCTTTACACAGTGTCAACTCCATCTCAGGTATAACTACTATTGTTGAAAATGATACTAATAACAACCGGAATCTTCCCCATCTCCTCCAACGGAACCATCATCTATTCGAGAGTTTGACTAAGATGGCTGGATTCTGCCTTATTTCCCTCTTCCACTCCTGCAACTAAGTCCCTAAGGCTCTGTCTCTAAAGTGTCGTTTGAATCCACCCCTCTCCACCACCTGTTACTACCCTAGACTCCTGCACTGTTTATCATCATCACAGTGCTTTCCTAAATTCCAAATTACACAGTTATTTCTTGCTATATGCTCCTTGGTGGCAGAAGCCAATCGCGTATACCAGTACCCTGCTCACCCCAGCATGCCTCCCCCACCCCACTCCTTACTGGAACAGAGCAGGCATCCCTCCTTGGCGCTTCCACGGACCCAGCATGTTCTTTTCCTGTTGAGATCGCCTGTCCAATGCCAGGGACAGCCTCAGCTTGTCCCTGTGGTCTCAGAGTAAACATTCCTCAAGCCCCTTTCACTCTCCAACGTATCTCCATTTAAACAACCAATTATACAGGCAAAGACTATGACCCATTCACATGTGTCTTTGTTACCAGCAGTGATTGGCATGTAAATAAACATGTGCTAAGTCATGAATGCAAGAATGGCCTGCCGTGAGATCAAGAATGCTTGAAAGACCTGGGAACGATTCTATGCCCGTGAGCTGGCATTCTCTCCCGGCAAGAGAAAAGTCTCTGTGGTCTGTGGGCCTTGTGGTCTTAGAAGTCCCCTAAGGCTATTCTCACGCCACCTGGGAGAGCCAAGCTTTACCTTCACACAAGCGGTTCAGCCTCTGGGGACCCAAGGCCTGCGATGGCTGGTGACAGACACACTGGTAGGAGCCCTCCGTGTTCACACACAGTTCCCTTCCTGAGCAGGTGTTGAGTGTGTCATAGAAACACTCGTTCACATCTGTTGGAAAGAAGAGGCGAGAACATTTTTCAGAGTCATAACTGCCCTGGCGTTCTGCTCCACCTTCATGCACGTATCCTTCATGGATCACCCCTGTGATCCTGGGGGGTGACCACGTCACAGCCCCATGTGGCCCTGGTCCTCTGCATGGCCACTCATAGCCAGGCAGGGATGTGCCCATCCCCAAGCAGCCCCACCTGCTCCTGGGTGGCTGCTGCAGCCTGAACAGATCACTGAGGGCTCGACTGAACTGGGAAAGAAAACCAGAGCCAAAGGCACTCACAGCTGGCCCATTGTTCTCCCATCAGACAGAAGCAGCCTCCAGAGCACCACCCTCAGACAGGGCCACTTCACAATCATATCTAAGCACAGACAGGGATAAGCTCACGTGTCACCCGCAAGTTACCAACCCCCTTCTCTTCGCCAAAGGGAGTGAGTATTATTTCCCTACCAAGTGTAGCTTATCCTCATGCAATTTTCCCCTCCCTGTAGATAAGATTTATTGAGACACCAAATCCAGAATCCCTCCCACTTTCTTAACAGCATTCAATCTAGAACAAAACCCCACTTCTTTAGAACCTCCCCAACCTCCCAGTCAAAAGCACATGTTATTAGTTTCTTTCTAGCACCCCGTGCTGAGATGCCCCACGGTTCCCACGGTATGGATTCTCTCTTGCTGCCTCAACGGGAAAACCCGCCTTGTTCACCTACAGGTATGTTCCTGCAGCCTCCAGCTGGAGGACGTGCTCAGAACAGACGGGCATGCACCTCAGTTACCGTCACTGCAACCACCTAGCTTGGCTGTCAAGAACACTGTGAATTTGGAAGGAAGACAAATGCAACCACCAGAGCTGTCATTGGGCCCCAGTCCCTGGCATCATCAGATGTGAACCTCAGTGTCACAGAAGAAGCGTTGCCAACAGAGCAGCCACCTGCCACAGAGCCCGGCAGCAGCAACCGTGGCTGGCTTGCTGCCTGTTGGGGGAAGAAAGTTTTAAAGGAAGCCAGTCATGTGCTCCCATGAGTCTATGGCTGCTCTCACACTGCAACAGCACCACGGAAGAGTTGAGACGGAAGCCACGTGGCCCACAAAGCAAAAATTATGCACTACCTGGCCCTTTTCAGAAGAAGTCTGCCAACCCCTGACATAGACAAGAAACAAACAAAAACAGATTATTTGTCTCAGAAACAAGGCCACATCTATGCGTGTTACCAAGTACAAACCCAGCTTTGTACAAATTGTGCTGAAAGAGTCATCTCAGGATGAGGAAGTCTTTGGCAAGGGTGGAAACGAGGTGGCAGGGAAATTCAGGGACCCAAGGAAGGGAAGAAACAAGGTGTTCCTGTGTTGCCCTGGGATTTGCCCTCCAGTGCCAACCCTGCGAGAAGAGAGGCAGGCGCGAGGGCAGAGGAGGAATGGAGAGGAGGAGAGCAGAGAGGGGTGTTGGAGCAACATGAGTTCTGAGTCTGTCCTTGGGAGCTTGGAGAGCAAACTTGGTATGGTTCAGAAGGAGCTCGTGTTACAGCAGATCATGCCATGCCTGAGGGATCCACACACCTGAACAGGTCATCCCTCCGTCCTGGACATAGTAAACCTCCTTTAGAGCGTGAGGGACTGGCTCTAGCCCAAGAATCCACCTAGCACCTGAGCTGTTCAGGCCCCCTAGGTAGCCTCCCCCAAAGGGAGGACAGAGGGGAACACAACCTTGCACCTTGACGTTGACCACTTCATAGACACGCTTCGTGATGTCAGCCAGCACGGCAGAGACGTTGGCCACAGGCAGCAGCTGTGGCAGGCCCAGCAACAGCTGCGACACCGTGGTGGAGGTGTCCCCCATGGTCGAGTGCAGGTGGTGGACAGCCGAGTCCAGTGGCTGTAAGGCACTGGTAACCTGTGAAACCAGAATCAGCATCGCACTGTGGGAGGGCATCCCCATCAGACAGACGAGACTGAGGTCCGGAGAAGCTCGAGTCAATTGTACACACACACACACACACATGCACATACACACACACCATGCTCCTCTAAAGAAAAGAACCTCTACACTATTTTTACAGGTTGAGCACACCAAATAGAAAAATCCAAAATTCAAAACGCTCCAAAATCCAAAACTTTTTGAGAGCCAACATGATGCTCAAAGGAAATTCACTGGGGCATTTCAGAGTTTGGATTTTCAGATTAAGGATGCTCAACTGGTATGTATTCTGCAAATATTCTAAAAAGAAAAAAAAATCCCAAACCCCAAACACTTCTGGTCCCAAGCATTTTGAATAAGGTGTATTCAACTATAGATCTGTGAGCATCCCAATGAAAGCTCTGAAAGCCAGAATTATAAATAATTTTGCAACACTGGTTGCCATGGGTTGAATTGTGCCCACAAAATTCATATGTTAAAATCCTAACCTTTAGTACCTCAAAATGTGACCTTATTGGAGATAGGGTCGTTACAGAGGCAGTCAAGTTAAGATAAAGTCATTAGGATGGACCTGATCCAACATGACTGGTGTCCTTATAAAAAGGGGAAGTTTAGATATGAACAAGCACAGAGGGAAGATGCCATCTGCAAGTCACGGAGAGAGGCCTGGAGCTCTCTCTGCTCTTAGTAAGAACCAACCCTGATGACACCTTGGAATTGCGACAGAATAAATTTCTTTTGTTTAAGTCCCCCAGTTGGTGGTGCTTTGTTATGGCAGCCACAAGAAACTCCTAGAGCAGTCACCCCCAGGACCTCTCTGTTCCCCACCCTTGCCAAAACCAAGGGTCTCTTGGAGCTGATGACAGAGAGAACTAGAGGTCAAAAGCCATGGTCTTATCTTGTACACATCTGGGGCATTTTTTTTTTTTTTTTGAGGCTTAATGATCCCTTTCTCATTTCCTATGAATTCTTTTTATTTCAGCCTAGTAACTTGAAATCTCAACCTTTGTGAAGCCAGGCAAATCTGCAACTGCCCAGCCAGGCCTGTGTCAACAGAACAGACTTTGCCAGCAAACCCCAAGTCTCCATTGGGAACCAAAAGGAGGCTTGGAGAGAGTGAAGTCCTTCTCGGCAGATGTGAAACCCCTTCCCAGGAGGAGGTGCAGTTAGTAATTTAGAAGGACAGAATAGAGAACGAGCCCTGGCCTCATGGAACCCCTCATTCAGAGCAGAAACAAGCACGGAGCCTGCGCAGGGCAGGCGGCTCCCCCGGGGAGGCAATGTTAGCCCCGCCCGCATGAGCAGACAGCAGGCGGCACACGCAGCGTTTGCAGTAGCGATGATGACTGCACCGCCTCAGAGGCCACGCGCACCAGGAGCCTCTTCATGCTCTTACCTGTACCAACTATTGGACCCTCACAACTGCTGTCTCACGCAGGACTACGGCTATTTCTGTTTAATGGAGGGTGTATCTAAGATACCGAGAGGTTGGAAACTTGCCCAAAGTCACACAGCTGGCGAGTGGCTACACTGTGATTTTAACCCCGGCAGGGTCGCTAAGGAGAAACAGAAATCACTCCCCGCTGGGTTGCACACACCTCTCAAGCACTTATGCCGGACAGAGGCCCAGATAAGGCGAGTGTGTTCACCACAGGTTCTGGGCTGCCCACCAGCCAGTCTAAAGACTAAGGAGAGACCCAGCTCCAGGTCTGACACCGTGACACCCAGGCACACATGGCACACACCACTGGGATCTGAAGGGCAGGCAGGACCAGATACACGAGGAGCAGAATGGACGTGTGGGGCCTCTGGCTCAACATTATTAAGCATTTCAAGGAGACAGCAGAGCATGTGCCAAGCTCAGGACCCTTCTGAGGGGCCCTGTCCACAGCTGGCCCCGAGGTCAACCACCGCTCAGGGAAGGCCCCATTGGGTGACGCAGTGCCCTGCCCACACTGGGGCTCCCAAGATCGAGGGAGACACTGATGCTCTGGAGAATGTGAGCTACCAATTGTGGTTCCCAACCAGGGGGATTGCCCCAAGGGACAGGGGAAATGTCTGGAGACATTTTTGGTTGTCGCCATGGGGCGGTGCTCCTGGCTTCTGTGCGTGGAGGCCAGGGCTGCTGCCAACCATCCTGCAGCACCCCACAGAGAGCACTTGGGCCCAAAGCAGCAATGGTGCCAGGAGAGAGCCCTGGTCTACAAGTTCCCATCTCAGCGCACTGCAGGATGCTGCAGAACTCCATAAAGCGGGGCCAGAATTTCAGGGATTTGGGAATGAGATTCGTGGGGGCAGAACTTCGGGGCTCAGGCTGACTTTACTGGGACACCCTTGTGTTCCGTGTTGTATACCACGAGGTAGGACTTAACAAAGTTATGTAGCAAAATCCATCCAACAACATGCCTTGAATTGTGTACATTCTAGTGCATTTAAATTATTCCTCAAATCTGGCTCAGTCAGTCATTTTGGGACCACTCGGGAATGTCCCCTCCTGACCCCCGTTCCCTTCCTTGCCCTCACCCCCGGGGGCTACCTGCTGTGGAGAGAAGCGTGCCATGTACTCCCTGACCTTCCCACCTACCAAGGAGTACAGCAGGCGCATGTGATCCAGGAGCCTGGGGTCCACCTGCTTGAGCTCCTGGAAGTCCATCTTCACCAGCATGGTCACATTGTACCAGAAGCTCACTAGGTTCCTCTCGGGAGCTGCACGGGAGCAAATACCAAGGAGTTACAGGCCCCAGGACAGGGTGGGACCACCAGAGGCCAGCAGAGCAGAGAGGAGAATTGGAGGCCTGGAAAGCAATTACCTCCTGCATTAAGACACCTACAAGGGGACAGGTGGGAATCCCCACTTCCTGCCCTTCCCTCCCCACCCTCCCGAAGACCACGAAGACCACTGGCCCAGCCAGCAGCAGGCCAGCACGGTTGGAAGGCTGGGCCCACAGCCCTGCGCCTTCCCTTGAAGAGCTGGATGCACTCAGGGTGTAAAGATGTCCTGTAGTCCTCAGTGTAGTACATGATATTGTTAAACAAAATTCTTATGCACTATGCCATTATTCTATTTACACCACTAATGTTGAACAGTATGATATATAATAGTATACAGTAGTATATGATACACATAACATGGTACATACTACATAATATATTATTGTATGTAATGTGCACTTTATAATACTATATACAACATATTATGTGACAGGTCTTTAAAAGGATCATGGAAACATTCGTATTGTCTTACAATTCCATTTTTCCATGAACTTCTTGAAGTGCCTTTGTATATAATATACATCCTACGTAACACATTGGATATGATGTACACTATGTAATACTATATATAACATATATGTACTATAATGCATAGTTTAGTAGCATAGTTAATACATAGTACTATAATATAGCAGCACTTGATATTGATATTATCATATTACTATGTACTATAATAACAGAATATATATAGTAGTATTAGTGTGTGTGCATATATCTCTCTCCCTAGCTCTGAACCTCAGATGACCATTCTCCTCAGTGTAGGCCCAGTCAAGAGAGAACTTTCCAGACAGGCAGGTGGCCCACAGGGTCCTGTGGTGGGTGCTGGGGGAGCATGGCAGCCCCCTGCAATGGCTCATGAGTGGCCAGCCTCACACCTCCCTCCGTGAGATGCTTCAGCTTCCCACTCATGCACCAGAGTGCCTAGAGCTTCTCCAGAAATACTGGGGAGACTTAGGTCTCTGCTCTACGAGGAATATTTTCTCATTTCAGGGCATCCGAGAGAACCCTTGGCTCTTCTCCCCTGAGATTTCAGTGACCAGATGTTGACAGAAACTGCCTAAGAGCAGACTCTGCCCATGTGCACAGTGGCAGCTCCTGGTGAAATTGGGCTGCTGCTTCTAGAAACCCACCGTTCCCACACTTTCACCCAGATCACAGCCTCACTGGAGACCTCACTTTGCTGCAGGTCTCCTCTGTGTCCCTACCTTGAGGCATGGGGGCCACACAGTGGTGGCCCCCTGACCAGGGGCAGCACTTCTGAAGTCCAGGACAGTCGGTGTCCAAGCCACACAGGGAGGTGGACGGTGTGGGCCCCACCATCGGGCAGACCCCAGGTCTCGATGCAAATTCCCCAGACCGATTCAGGGCTGGGGAAAAATGATACAATTATTGATGCTGAAAATTAAAAAAACAAAAATCTTCGATGAGCTGCAGAGGCACTGCACCTGCACCCTTGCTGGCACTGGGCTCTGCCTGTGGTTCCTAGAGTGCCAGTGGGGCCTGCTCAGACCTGGGCAGCCACCCACCCCCTTGGAGGTCCTGGGCTTCCCTTCTTCCTCTGGGCCTCAGAAGTCCAGGTGCAAGGGGCTCCACCACACCCTGAGAGGTCCCCTTGCTCCTCAAGTCCTAATAGCTTACTCATTCATAGTTATTTGATATTTATTGAGTACCTACTATGTTCCTGCCGCAATGCTAGGTGCCCAGGACTCAGCAGTGGGCTGAGGACAAAGTCCCTACCTTCAGGAAGCCTATGTTCCAGTGGGGGTCAAGCATGCACATCGGTCAGGTGGGATGTGAGCCACGGGGGACAGAGCAGGCCAGGGGGCAGGTGGTCAGGGAAGGCCACTGTGAGAAGTGCATATGCCGGGGCCGCAGGAAGCTCACAGCAGCCCCGACGCCTACCAGGCAGAGTGTGCACTGCAGCCCTTCAAAGGAGCCTGAGGAGCCCGGGGAACAGGAGAAGCAGAGCCACAGGGAGACCCTTCCTGTGCAAGGTGAGGGCCCTGGGGGCTTGGGGAGTTCAGTGGTGACGGTGACACTGTTGCTGCCCCCAGACCCCAGATTATTCTCACCAGCTCTGTGTCCCCATCTCCTGTGGCTTTCAGCTTGCCCTTGGGGCTAGAGCTGCCCCCCATGTGAAAAGCCCAGGAGCCTAGAGTTTCACAAGCCCCCCTCCCACCTGTAGCGAATGTCATGAAATTGCCCCCCAGCTCCACTGCATCCCCTCTGCAGTCCTGCTTCCTGGAGGCACCAGACAAGCACCGAGTCTGGTTTGCGTGGCAATGTTGAGCTCTGACTGCTGGAGAACAGCCTGTGGAGGTGGAGGGTCGGGGAGACTGTGATGCCCCAGGAGAGATATGGTGGAGGCTGGACCAGGGTGACGCTGTGTGGAGGCAGCGAGAAGGTCAGCCGCTGGGTGTGGTAGGTGGAGGTGCCCATAGGATGTGCTCATGGATGGGATGAGAGTGTCAGAGAAGGAGAAGCTACAGGAAGACTCCAAGGCTTCCAGCCTGGGCATCTGCTGGACTCCACTCCCAAGCCTGGAAAAGCAGTCACGAAAGGGTCGGGTGGACCAGGGATCTGCCGTGCACACGTGAAGTCTGACGTGTCTGCTGGGCACTCACACCGAGATGCACGGCAGCGTGGCATCCCCCCATAGTCAACTCATGCTGAGATCAGTCGGCCCAGGGCCTGGGTGCACTGTGTCCTGCATGAGCCCACCACCCGGCCCAACTCCACGCAGATGATGGACAGAGAAGTGTGGGCAAGCTGCCAAGGGAGGAGAAGATGGTGAGGGGCATGGGGTCAGGGATGGCTGCAGTCACCACGGGAGACATGGGGTCCTGGTGACCAGAACCTCGGCTGGGGGCCGGGGGAAGCCATGGTGGGCTTTTCAGAAAAAGGGCTTTTAGAGCTCTTAGACAGAGCTAAACTATCTGAGAATCTCCAGGACCCAAAGGGCAACTGGCCAGAAGTCAAGGGCACTGGTGTCTAGGGTGCAAAAAACACACAAGAGGAGGAGGCGAGAAGAAGCTGAACCAGGGAGACGTGGCAGGAATGCGAGCCGATGCAGCCAGAGATGCCATGGGCAGAGCCAGGACAGCCTGCCAGTGCACCCACGCCAAGAAGGTGGTGCTGGGCTCAGGACAGGAGAGGGCCTCGTTCCCCCAGGATGAAGGGAAGCTGAGAAGACGTGAGCTCAGAGAAGCTGAGGCAGCAGAGAAGGAAGCAGAAGGAAGGTCATGGGAATCCCGCTGAGCTCTGCAGCCTCAGCCCAGCCACCCTGAGGGCAGGCGACCTGCCACCTCAGTGCTCCTTGAGCCCATCAGGCTCAAGCCCAGCTTGTGTGTCTGCAGATGACCCACAGGACATCTAGAAGCTCAGTTCCAGGCCCCTCAAACTCCAGGACAGAGGCCAGGTGATAATCAAGCTCTGGAACCTCTCCACAAAGGTGGGAGAAGTGGCCGCGCCCTTCAGGAGGACTGGTGGGAATGGCCAGTGGCGGGGGCGCCGCCATGAGGGCTACAGTCCCGGGGACTCTTGGGTCCCCTGGGTTCTCTTCAGAATGCCCCACAACCCCCAAAAGAAAGTGTAGCCTTTGCTTCTGTTGGCAACAGATCACCAAGGTGGTTGCCTCAGTCAGGGCAGAGAAGGGGCAGCCTGAACTGCAGAACTCAGGAGCATCTGGGCACCCATCCTGCAGTTGGCTCATTCTGTTGATGTTCACATTTGGTGACGTTTACATTCGGTGACGTTCTCCTTTCCACATTGTCCCCTGCACACCCTTCATGATCTCATTGTCCAGGTGGCTATAACAATGTCTCCAGGTCCCAGAGAAGTGGCAATGCAGGGAATGGCTCTGGGGCATGAAACTGGATGTATGGAGCAGCCTGAGAGAGCAGCGCAGGGACAGAAATGGGGCCCTGAGATTGTAAGAGCCCGGAGGTCTTTGCTTCGTGTCCCATTGTCAAACCAATGGCCTCGAGGCTAAGCAGAGATGAGGACTACATGCAAGGCAGGATCCTGGGTCAGAACAAAGTCTTTAGGGGAACAAACAGTGAGTAGCAGAGACTTGATTAACGGTAATGCGCCAGCATTGGTTCCAAGGTTGGGACTAATGCACCCTAGTGGTGCCAGATGCGAACATTGGGGGAAACTGGGGAGGAGTATATGGGAACTATCTGCATGAGCTTTGCAATTTTCTGTAAATCCAAAACTGTTCTAAACTAAACAGTTCATTTAAATAAAAAGAAAATAGAGGCCAACCCTGCCCCCCCAAAAAATTTGGCTTCCAAATCGGGCTGCTTAATCATAGCAGAAGTGTCTTTGAGTGGATCTTCATCTTAATTTGGATGCTGCTGGGAATCCCCCTCCGTCCCTTGGAGCTGGCTCGCTCATGAGTGCCCAGAGAGAACAGTCAACAATTCCACCGCAGTAGGAAGATAAAAGTCTCCTTCTCCTTCTCCTTCCCTAATTCAAGGCAAACAATGAGCCAGAACTGCCCAGTGCCTGGCAACCCTGTTAGTCATGGCTCAGTGAGACGGCAGTAGAGATTTCTGTTTCAGCAACTGCGTCCCAGGCTCCCAGGGCTGAAGAATCAGATCAGCCGGGGGAATAGCCCCTCTCTTCTGCCTCTGTCCTTGGTATCCCTCGGCCTGGTCAGGACAGGAGGTTCTCACCAAAGGGCCCCTGGTCCTCAGCCAGAAGGAGAGGGAAGTTTGTGGGGAGTTTCCTGGTCCAATGGGGCCCTGGGATTGCCCAACGAGGGAGAGTTTGCCAAGGCGTTGAGCCTGTGCAGAAGGCTGTGCAGAACCGGGTGTCACTGGAGTTTGGGAGCATTGCCTAAGATGCCCGGGTCCACTTCTCAGAATTTTCCTGGGTACATAATCCAGCTTATGCGTAGCAGTGTTTCTATTGTATGATGTTCATCACAGAATTATTTATAATAATGCATAATTAGAAACAACTAAAAGAAGTGATAGGAAAGATTGCTCAATAAATGCTGAGACATCCATATGAGGTAATGTCATGTGGCCATTAAATCAGGCAGTGGAACAATATTTATTGACATGAAAGATGTTCTGGATAGATTGCTAAGTGGCTAAAGTGTGCTACAAAAGTCTTGGACAGGGTGGCCTTCCTCTTGTAAAATGTCTGCCCTGGATGAAGACTAGAAGAAAATGTCAACAGTGGTTATTGTTGGGTGGCGGTCTTTTGGGTAATTTCCCTCTGTTCTTTTCTGTGTTTCCACATTTTCTGTATGACTCATGTATTCATGTTTGTAGTTATTTAAAATACATACTTAAATAAAATAACGTATGACATATCATCTCATTCCCAATCCTGGGCTTAGAGAGCTGGAAAAGTTGTCTAGACTGAAAGTCACATCACATGTACGCTCTCAGCTCTCTTCCCTTTTTTGGATAACTGGCTGCTGAGTGGGAGGAGGAAGGGATGAGGCTGGCATCCTGCTGCTGCCTGGGGACTGAGACTCTGCAGCTCGGACCAGCAGGTGGCCCGGATGCAAGTCACCCCACATCGGGGCACCCGAGGCCTGGCCACAGCAGGAGAGGAACCTCCTACCCTTCTCTCCGGGTCCAGCTTTGTCCCTGGCTCGTGCTGTACAAACCAAGGCTGCAGTTCTCAGCTGGTCATTTGCCGACTCACTTCCAGCTACAAGCAGCCAACCTCTCATTGGCATCTCTGAACTTTCACTAAAAGAGCAGGCTTTGATCAAAAGGGCCAGGTGAGTGTAGAGGAGCTCTGCTGCCAGCATCCGGGCAATAAATACCTCCACCATAGGTAATAGTAAGCCACCATCAGCCCTGGCCTGTGATGAAGCACGCACTCAGCCACAGCCCACTTTCTCTCCTCTTCTTCCTCTGTCCTTCTGGGCTCCTGCCTCTCCTCTCCCCTCTGCTGTCAAGTGCCCCTCCTAAGACCTGAGGGGACCGTGTGCTGTCCCGCCCCAACTCAGCACCTCTGAAGGGCCTCTTCGGCCTCAGGGACAGACCCCTTCTCCTCGCTCCCAGCGTCCCCCAACCTCCTACACCGGCTGCGCCATCACTGTGGCTCCCAGAGCATCCCGCCCTTCTTGCCCACGGGACTCCCTCACTAGAACCTTCCTGCTCTCTCCTCACCCTGGTGAGGTCCTAATCAAAGATGCTGATGCTCCAAAAGTGGGGCTCTGGTCCCCCAAGAGGCATTTCCTGGTGGCTGTTTGTTGAGGGGAAAGATGAGGGGCAGGTGAGGGGAGGGGCTGCCTGCCATCCCTGACTTCTCCCCTGGGGATTGGCGTGTGCACCCTAGCAGGGTGGCAG